TAAAGGAGAGTGTTGATGAACTTAATCAAAGGCGAAAGAGCGTATGGTGGAATCGGTGGATCCCAAGAGAGGAATGAAATTTGTAAAAATAGTAATTTACTTATGCATGTAAATTATTTTGCAGTCCTCAACCTTAACTTCTCTAGCGGAGTAAATGATGTCTAATAGAGAGTAGAAAAGCAGATTTTATATAAAAAGTAATGTACATCATTCCACTCACACTCGGATTAATCCTCTTGTATGATAGGAGACGTATAAAAGAAAATTTACAGATAATCGATTGTCCCTTCAGTTTTCTGATTCTGAATTTCATACCATTATCCTCAGGCATGCAGAAACACACATTAACGAAGGCCAAAGATCATTCCTGTTGCATTATTGTGAGGTTGGTTCTTCTTCCATGAAGCTGCTTAATTCAGCCCTTCATTTCACTTTCTCAATTTATTCCTTTTGTAGTAACATGGATACGTAGTTCGTTGGAGCTACAAAAATAGGCATATAGATAGCATGATAATTGACTAATTATTTCTGTCTTCCTCACTGGAATGAAGATTGTAAGTGGCTATAATACGTGTGCATTCATCATTTCCATATCCATCGAATGGAGTTAGTAGGAAATGGAACATCATATACATAGTTTTTTCTTCTTTAATTTCCTTAACATTTCTCTTATTTGCCTCCTTTTCCTAATCTTGCTTTTCTATTAGTACTAGTAATTTCATCTTGCTTAATTTGGTGTGTTCGGAAACAAAAATTTTTCAAATATAATTTTATTTGTGTCATAAAAACATTCTTCAACCACGTTTTTATATTTTCAATTATCTTTTTATCTCACATACATCATATCAAAAAAAGTGCTATAGCGATCTTTCTAAATAATATTTTAAGCAATCTGCCATCCAAACACACTACGGTAATTTCAGTTCTGCCACGCTCCATAATGCTCAATTAAAAATCCTTTCCGGATCTCAAGGTTTTCACAGCATACCTGGGATATTTCCAGGCAAAAACTGTTAAGGATGACGATGAGCCATGTTATGGCATGAGACCTATCATTGTGCCAACAATGTATTGACCCGTTGTGCTGGATACGTATGAGAGTTTCAGAGCTGTGATATACAAGTCGGAATAATTACATATCTAAGCTAAAACTTTAGGATGATAAATGCGTAAAAAAATAAAAAGGATAATGAATAAGTCAAGCTAATTCTCTGTTCATGTTGTGTTCCCTACCCATAGAGGATATAGGGCTTGTTTTCAAATGATTCTAAGTAAATTAAAACAAGAAGATAAATGTTTTTAGCTTCTGATCTGATTCGAATTATGAAAATCAGAAGCATCTGTGAGAACTTATCTACAAAGTTTGAGGTTCTCTGCAGAGCTGACGACTTCATCCCCGAACTTACATGGCAATTCATGGCTAAGTAAAACTTAAAACTGAGGCCAACGGTGACGGCCAGATAACCAAAAATTGGTCTCGTTGTTAGTTGAAAACATTGGAAGCAATTCTGACATGCTTAGGATAAGTAATTATTGTTCGTACAGTTAATTAACTGTCATCAACTCACTATCAAGAAAGAAACCCTTCAGTCCCCACCATCATCCTACCTTCCTTCCTCTCCTGAGGGAACTCCATTTATGGAGATTTGATACGCCCGTAAGAATACAACTCATGCACTACTATGCTTCTTACTACTGATATTATTACCCATTCGTGCTGGCTTATGGCAGTTGACACCACAATTAGGCTACTTAACATATTCAAATCTGCAGAAGTAGCGTCATCAATAACTAATTTACAACTAAGCACTATTGCTTTGCGGATGAACTAGCTTTTAAATAATTTAGGTGAATATACCTACCTATATAGAGTTCAAACGTTGGTGGCAGCAATAATTAACGATTAGTAGCATAAGATGATGTCGAGAATAGCAGGAACAACAACCGTATCAACCATGAGAGCTTCACGTGTGACCTGACCTTCTTGTTCAGGCACACAAAAGTCCACTTTTTCAGCCCTTGACAGTACAACACACACCCCACCATAGTCACTTCAAAGTAAGCCTGGAAGACTCGGATTATGGCATAGTACAAGTTTCTTAATCAGCACTGTCCCCCTCAGACTTGTTTTCTTTCTTTTATTGATATTTTCCCCTTACCCAATGTGGTTTTTGGGTCATAGCCCATCGTATGATTTTATTGGCATTTCAAAGTTTTGATTAGCTTTGGATATTTCATGGTTCATGATCATTTGTTGTTTTATGCGTGCATAGAACAATGACTATAGCTTACTGAGTCATCCTGCATCTATTTTAAGGACCTGCACATTGCTTTATCATGAGCTATGGAGCTTGGACTCAATGTATCATGATTTAACCTTGACTCAGACATAATGAAAATCCATCATGGCGGACGAATTCCCCATAAGTTAGGTCCATCTACACGCTTAACATAAGATTTGAAAGGAAAAATTCTTCACTATGTAATTGCTATCATGCATTCAAACTCATCAGTAGAAGAAACGTTTTTCTATGGCATACCCTAGTATCCACTAAAGGAAAGAGCGAAAAAAAAAAAAAAAAAGAGAGAGAAAGAAAAACCATGTATTACAATTAGTTCAAGCTGACTAGAAAAACCAATAAAACTTTAATGTCCTAGTCAAGGAGTTGGAGTGTGAAGTGTTACATTACGTTATGTAATTACTTTATACTCCCTCTCTTTTTTTATAACTGACGTTTAAGAAATTTGCTTTTAAGTACTTTTATCTGTCGTTGTATTATCCACATGCAGCATTAATTATTTTTTCACAATTTTGCCCTTTTATCTCTCTTTATCAATACAGGACTCTTAATTACCACTCCTAGTAATTATTACTTCTCTCTTTGCTTTTGGCCTAATAAAACAGCATCATTTAATACTCTAGTGAGAGAAAACATGAGTGAATTGGACAATTAATGAGGGTACAAAAGGAAAGTAGTGTATAGATTTAAACAATGAAAAACTTTTCTTAATTGGTGTGCAAAACCTTAAACGTCAGTTATAAAAAAAGGGAGGGAGTATAATGAAGTGTCATGCGTTATATTATGTTGTTGCTTAATACCTTTCTTTATATCGAGTGATGAGTTTGAATTGAAGACAGCTTACGTGAGCTCAGAAACTGAGAATGGCAGCTTCAAAACTGCTCAAAAGAAAGAACCCCCAAAAAAAGAAAGTAAAAAAAAATCTTAAATCAATAGTTTATTAGAACTTTAGGTTACTGAAAGCTGGTGTCCTTAGTGAAATGGGAGGAACACGAGATAAAGCAAGTGGGTTGGCTTTGCTTGGTAACCTGATCATCAAGATTAAATTAACCATTCACTTAATCGAATTTTGTGCTGTTTCCCCACTAGATTTCAGCAAGAAAGGAGTAGTAGAAAATTCAGCTATGGTCATTGCTTGGAAATGTGGTTTCTTGGGTTCTTAAATGCTGGTGCAATAAAAGAGAATATGGCGGGGTAATTGAAGGCTCACGTGAGGCTTAGTTTGACCGTTATTTTGATCCGATTCCCTCGACAAGTAGCGTAAAAATTCTCGTAATTAAGCCAAAATATGCAGGGCATACGATGTTGAAACTTCCTTCCATTTTTGCAATTTAATTCTCTCAAGCATATCTTTCTTTGATCCCTTTTGGTTTTCAATGTCATTTTCAGAATTTTCTAGCACAAAACTTTTTATGGGTTCTTTGCCTTCAATTTATTTTGACAAATTATGACAAAATGTTTCCTACAAAAAATTCAATGTCATTTTACTTTGAGCAGAGTGATTTCCATTGGAATTGTTGAAGACGATCCTGCAAAGTAAAACGGTGACAAGGCATCTTCATTCAGCAAGTTCTTTAAATTTCTCATTCAGGATGTTTTTTTGATACCCTTAGCTTAGTAGGGTAAATGCTTTAATGCCAATCCGAATTTACTGATACTCGTTGTGGCAGTCAACCTAAGATGACTGAACCCAGATATGATTTCTCCTGTTAAAGATATTATTACAAAAAAAAAAAAAAAATTCTCAATAAAATTGATTCGTTCTTGGGTCAATTCAAACTTTTATTGTTTGCATGGCATGCCAACTGTAAGTTTAGTGCTTCAAGAAAAAAGAAAAATGGAAATCAAAACTTTGAATATAACACTTTGTATATCAGTGATCACTATAGTGACCCCTACTGATACAGAAGGCAGAATTCCTGGAAAAAATGTTGCCTTGAAGCCGCCACTGCACCCCATTGTCATACATACTGTCTCAGTAACTCCCAGTTATACAAAGCAAATACGGGAACTGTTGACTTGAAGTTGCAACCGCACCCCATTATCATACCGAATTGTCCCATATGAATAATGCTGATGGAAATTTTGCTGGATTAGATTGGGATAATTCATTATAGTAGGCTCTATTAGGTGGTGCTTTACTTTACATGTACGTTAGTTAAAATGGGCATTTTTTAGTAGGATCCAACTGAGACCCTCACTTTGTCTGTTTAGGTGGATCCGACTCAAATAAGACATGAACTTAAATGAGTGTACCAGAAATATGCAGGAGAAGGGTCATTTTGACCAAAATTATCACCTCATCATCAACACTATTGCAAGGCAGCTCATAAACTAAGGAATTGTGCTACCTTATTGAAGTAATGGCTGACCCCTTATGTTGGTAGGTGATGCATGATAACCAGAGTTGTATATAGAGAATGACATGGCACTATGGCATTGAATCTACACTTGTACAAATATGCATTAGTAGCGGTATTTATTTACTCACTAGTGTTTGAATAATTTTAATCTTTATTTTTTTTTTCCCCTCCATGTTGGGGGTTTATAGCATGGAATCCCAAGTGGGTATGGGACCCTTATGGTACTGTCTGGTGAGCTAGGGGGCACTGCACACCCCTTGATGCCCCATAGTTGGCTCTTTACTCGACCGAGGCAAGTTTGGGCCACACTTGAAACTCCTTATATAAAGAGCCCTTCTTGCTCTTTGTTCATCACTTCAATTTCAGCAACTTCTTCATTCATCACTTGTGAGTTTACCTGCACCAAAGCACAAAGAAGAAAAAAGAACACTTCTTGCAAACTATTGTAGAGAAGATGAAGATGAGCAGCACAAACATGGGAAGCTCCAAGAGAAGAATTTCAAGCAGAGGACTAGGAGGGGTCCTAAGAGAGCAAAGGGCTAGGCTTTACATAATCAGAAGATGTGTGGTCATGCAGCTTTGCTGGCATGAATGAAGAGTATCTTTCTAGTTCTATCTAGCCTTCAATAAGAAGGGATGCTTGTTTCTTTCTTCTTCTTCTTCTTTGATCATCTTGGGGAGTGTAAATAGCAAAGGCCGAGATTAGTGAGAAAGAAGTTAACAATTTTGTACTAATTATTAATTGGCTTTATGAGCCCTCGTGTGTATACAGTCGGATAGCTTAATGGATTGAAAAAATCATCTTTATCAATTCATTGAGTCTTAGTAATTCTTTTCATTTCCATTCATATTCTCTCCTTTGATATTGTGTGTTATCATTTCTGCTGTGGATTTTTGAAGATGGAGGACTAGCTAGTTCATCAGCCAAACTTAATCAAGCTTTTGCAGGATGAGGACATGCCCACAAAATTGGGTAGCTGAAGTCTAATTCACATTAATCTTTACCTTCTGGTGATCGGCTAATCATCCTTATGTGATCATTTCTTTCATCAGTCCTCATGGAGGTTGACTAGTTTATTATCCTCACAATAGTTCGCATTCATCACGGTCCTCAACGTACACAAAAAACAATGAAGATAATGAATGCTTGGATATTTAAGCAATAGGGAACTGGTGATGAACGAGTTGGGAAGATGTATGATTGGATTCTTTAGTGCTAGCTCAAAGTTCATATCAACTTCAATTTGCAGATTTTTCTACTTGTATTTTCTTTCCTGAATTATTCGAATATCTGGATCCCCAGATTCAGAATCAGATGAGCAGGACTTCTAAGTTTCTTCCCAGAAATTAAAATTCAAAAATCCAGCTCTTTGGAAGACTTTTTTTTATTTCGTTTTATTTTGGTATTGGCATTGGATTGTTTTCTTTCCTGCAAGAAGTAGTACTAGTACTTCCCTGTTGTCCAAATTTAGAAGCTACCTAAGCCATCCCACAAGTACCAGAGAAAACAGGGGTGGAAAAATTTGTAGTCGTTTTATTAGGCTTAGCCAGTCAGGTTATAGCAGATACGATACATATTACACTTAATTTTGCAGGCTTTTTTTTTTTTTTCAGAAAAAAAAAGTAGTTGATATTTCTAGATTTATGCTCTTTATTTCTGCGCATAAACTTGAATTAAACTCTTGACTGGTGCAAACAAGAAAGGGAAAAAAAATATATAGATTATCTTTAATTAGGAGAATAATGACTAAACCTTTTTTTCTTTATATATAGATTTTGAGGGAATTATTATGTTAGCAAAAACCTAGAAATAGTAGTATTATTTCCTGCTGTTTTAACACTTTCTGATTATCATGTAGGCCCTATAATCATTTAAAGTGATAAATGCTGTGATCTTACTTTCCTAGTTTCCAATCCAGTCAAACTATTTACAAACTTTTTGTACTCTCAGGAAAGCAGGTCCAAAAAAGAGACAGTAGCATCTTACTGCAAAGCATTATGTTATTACTTGTTACATACTTAATTAACGATTTTGATTGTCGTCTTGTGAATTGCAGGTGCAACAAGAAATTGACTTAAGACACTAATTGATATATTTCATCTGTTTCTTTTGTCTGCTTTTGATAATTGAGGGTTTGGTGGCTACAAATTAAACATGAAAATTTAGCTAATTAAGCTTTTAATAATAATTAAGTTGGAGACTAGTTAGTTTGTGACAACGTATTGTCTTGATCATCTTGTCTTCAACCAAACCTGCATTAGCGAATTTCAAAGTATTCTAGTCGAAGAAAGAGATGTTGGCCCAACCAGACAACGCCACTGACCCTTATGTTAAATCCTGTGATTAATGATTATCCTATCCAAGGGACATTGGAGTCTAACCTTCATTTCATTAACAATTTGTGGGTAATTAAGGGACTCCAACCTAATATTTACATGTGCCATGCATATTTATTTAAACTGAATTATTAAGTAGTAGTAGAATTGAAATAATAGCACATAAACTTAATTAGGATAAACAGTCAGATATTAACACTTCAAACTATGCTGAACTAGAATAATCTTCTTGGAAGGTACTATTCATTATTCTCTTTTTCTTTTCTTTTTTTTTTTCCATTTTCTCCCAATTATTCAGCTAGAGTTGGGCCAACAGGCGCCTAACAACAAAAAGAAAAACTAGTGCCAGAACCAGGCTGCGGCAAAAAACAAGATAGGATAAAAAGGAGCAAAATATTTGTATTTTAGTGATCGTGAGGTACCACAATATTTAGTTGTTCTAGTTGAATTAAAACTTAGGTGATAGTGACGAACTAAAAATAATGGATATCAATTGTCCTCTTTGTTTAATTTTTAGTAACATTATACACAAAGTCTAAATTTCAATCTGCAAATTTACTATTAAAAACTTGATATTTATAAATCAAAAAAATAATTTTTTTTTAAATAGCGCGTGAGTGAGAGGGTTCGAATTCAAAATCTCACATTTGCACTCTTTTATTTTTAAATAAAAGAGTGCTCTATATATTATCAAGAAACGTGCCATCTAAAAACATGCAACATAAGAAATATCGCTCATCTTCTGTTTATTGGATGCCAAATCAATTAAATGCCGAATCAAATTTTGATGTAAGATGGTTGATGTTTCATGTTTCTTGAAGAGATTTATGATTAAAACGTCAACTTTTATGCTTAAATTCATCTGGAATCAAACTTACAGCGCGAAGCTTACTGCGTTTGCCATTCAATTCTTGCGGCATCAACATGATCTGATCTGCGATCATGTTACTAAAACTGTTCTTTTCTTCTTTCCCCTTCAAAAGAAAAACGATCATGCACAGAAAGAAAAGGTGAACCGGAAAAATCAAACAAAAGTGCTGTACAAGAAAGAAAAAATAAATAATGGCAAATGGGGTGAAGGAGTTGAAACAGTTAAAAGTCCAAAACTGAAGTGGGGCAAAGATTGTCAGGCTGCACAGGAGCTGAATCGCTAATCTAATATTCTGCTGTCGGCCACATAACAATTGCCATCTCATCTCGTCTCAGCTAAGCCAAAATTGAGGTGAGCTCAAGAAATGGAAGTGATGGAGCCAACCCCCGACACAATATGTGATCAGTCAAAATGGCAGCCTTATCCACCCCCACGTGCATTTTCTTATCTTCAACCCCACCACCACCACCATCCCAGCCCATGAGGCAACCACCACCACCACCTCCACCTCCACAACGACCATGACCTCCCTCCCCTTTCAAACCCCCCCAGTCCCCACTCCCTGTGATTCTTTTCTAATCATCAAAAAAATCCCCATCAAAGTGGTCCGCCCGCCTACCCCTCCCTAGGCATATAGATTCTTCCTATGTAGTACTCGTATACTTACTTCCAGTATGGACTTGGACTAACATGCATACATCATCACTGCTGAAAAATTTAACCGATATATCTTCAAAAAAAAAAGAAAGAAAGAGAGGAACGTAAAACTTGTTTCAAGATTCAGATCAACTGCTATATGCATGTATATATGTATGTTTGTGTGTGTATATATATATCTTCTTGTACTTGGGATGCAATAGACGTTCAATGCCAATATCTGACTAAGATAATTCATATCTCCTTCGTTACGTACGCTTGAATGGATGGTTGGCTTTGCAATGGATGATATATCTCCCAGTTTTGGGGTCTAATCTTAGCACCCGCCAAGCATATATGCTCGCCCGTTTGTAGATACATCTGGGTGAATTGATGCGTAGTTTTGGTAGGTAAGGTGAGTCAGAGTTGATAAGAACAGCTGACTAACGAGTAACTGGGTGGAATCATAATTTACGTAAATTAAATGGGTCAGAAAGGCAATTATATGATAGGTCTACGCGTGTCAATATTTCTTCCCCTCCCATGCGGCCCTTTGGCATAGATGCAAAGGAAGTGGAAAGCCTGGAAGGGGTTTCGTTAAGCTAGGGGCGGAGCCAGGAAAAAATCCTAGTGGGGGCAAAAATAATACTAAAATTTTTTATTTACTCTTTTTCTAATTTTTTAAGCAAAAAAAAAAAAAAGTTTCAGGCATAAAAACACCGTTTCACAAGTTAAAATATTTATCAAATAACTCATTTATTAGTTATTACATTAACTAATCAATTTTCAAATTTCTTTAAAACAGTAATAGTCTCATGCTCTAGAAATATATTTGCAAACAAATTTAAAATAATAATAATAATAAGTAATTGTTTAGAACCTGATTTTGGTGGTCTCCTAAAGTTGGTGAAAAGAGTTGCAAAATGTGGCGGACCCAAGTCCTAAAAGATCAATTGATTTTGGTGCAATCTCTAAATAGAATGAAGTGATCAAAAGAAAGAGTAACAAACTTTGGTTGTGGAAAAAAAAAATGGCTCTCCCGTGTATGTTGGGGAGTGGGGACAACCAAGAGTCAGATAAAGAAAGGGAAATTGGGGAGTGGGGGCAAAGGAAGTAAATGATAATTGGATGAAGTGATAAAAAGAAAAAAATAGTTGGCTTGGATGTGGAAGAAGAGGAGCCAGTTGTGAAGGGAAATGGGGGACCACAGGAGTAAAGGGAACTTGGAGAGTGCGGACCAAAAGGAATGACTGATATAATTGGTACTTCGCCCTGTTGGTGGGAAAATGAGAACTAGAGGAGGAAAATGAATGATATAAATTTTGTGATCTATTCTTTCACATTTTTTCTAAAAAAAATTCTGGAAGCACCTTTAAAATTATGTCAAAATTATAGATGTATTATAGGAATTTAAGGGGAGCAGTGGGGCCGGTGCCCCCACTTTAAATCCGCCCCTTGAGCTTAGAACCTTGGAAGGCTTTGGTGGGCATCATCACTTGAACTCATTTCTCAATTGTTTCTGTCAATTGTGCCCGCAATTATTCGTTGTGAGAAAGTGATTACAGATGGGAGCAGTGGGCGCTTTCATGCTAAAAGAATGTGCTTTTGTCCACCTCCGAAACACCCCCCCCACCCCCTCCCAAAACCCCCAACCCTACAGCAATTACCTCTGACTTGAATATAAATTTAAATCTAACAAAGAAAATGAAGAAAAAAGGGGTTTATGTGATAAATTTCTCGTAATAAAGACGTGATTACCTTTTTGCTGGTTAGATTACGTTTGATCGTTAGTCATGAGGATAGTTTGTAGGTAGGTTTCATCAACGTAAAGGGTGATTTGTTACTTACCTCTAATGAGAGGGGGGTAATTGAAATTTAGCCTGGAATGAAAGGAAGGAGAAATCAATCATGCAGAGTCTATATATCTTTTGAATTTTTTATTCTTGTGAGAGGATTTAATATTGAGAATCGAGAGGCCAATGCATTGCGATAGAAACAAGAGAA